TGCCATGGAATCGCAGCTTCGCACAGATGCGATCATTCCAGTTTCTGTATTGGTTCTCTTTGACACATGCTCTTCAAGTGTTTGGAGAAATTCGGAAGCTGGAACGCATGTCGGTGGGCTCTGTCACATGGGCAAGCTTGAAGCACTTTGCCAAGCAAGTTGATGCCGCACCAGAAGATTCCGCTGCACCTGCAGCTGAAGAGCCACCGGCGCCTGTTGCAGATGCAGTTGAAGAGCCACCGGTGCCTGTTGCAGAGCCTGTTTTGATGTAGAAGATCAGAGTGACCAAGACTCTGAGGGTGACGTTTTGCGTGATCTTTCCGAGGCTGAAGAGATGCCGAATGAGATCTTCTTCGAAGGAAGAGGGCAGACAGGTCAATTAGGCAGCCAGTACAGTGTTCAAGTGTTTTTTCGCTGAAAAGGCGTTTTTAATGAACATCTTGATGTTGACCTTCTTCGAGGGCAGAAGGTTGCCGACAGTTCATGTGCTTGTGCCTCTGCACTGAAAGAGTTTTGCTTGGGCTTTTGCTTGCTTCGGGCTTGAATGAGTTGCTTTTAACATGGAAACACCATGGTACTTTCGTGTGCTGCATCATTTCCAGCGTTGCATGCTTCCTAGCTGTCATGTCGAATGGAGAAGTTCAGTATTGCGTGATTGCATGAAGCCGCGATTATTCAGTGGGAAGAAGCAGCTTGGGTTTTGTTGTCCAACATCTCTGCTTAGGAAGCCTGGTGATTCTGGAAAATCAGTTTTTGCCAAGTGGTCCCAAAATGTCATTGCACAAAACTGATTCGTGTCGTATGGTGCCAAAGTGCACCAAGCAGACGTGACGTGTTTTTCCCAAACATAACCGCAGGCGCAGCATTTGATGATGTGTCCAGCATTTGCACCCAAACTGAAAGTAGCAAGGGTTTTGAGAGACGTGACCGTAGAGGCAGGGCTTTTAAGGCGGTGTCCAGTGTCTGGGCCCAAAGTCAAAAAAACAGACGTGGTTTTGGGAGACTTGAACGTGGAGGCAAGGCTTTTAAGGCAGTGTTGAATGTCTGGGCCCAAAGTCAAAAAAGCAGACGTGGTTCTGGGAGACTTGACCTGAGAGGCAAGGCTTTTAAGGCGGTGTTGAGTGTCTGAGCCCAAGGTCAAAAAAGCAGACGTGGTTCTGGGAGACTTGACCTTAGAGGCAGCTTTTAAGGCGGTGTTGAGTGTCTATTCCCAAAGTCAAGAAAGCAGACGTGGTTCTGGGAATTTTTGACCTTAGAGGCAAGGCTTTTAAGGCGGTGTTTAGAGTCTAGGCCCAAAGTCAAAAAAGCAGACGTGGTTCTGGGAGACTTGACCTTAGAGGCAAGGCTTTTAAGGCGGTGTTGAGAGTTTAGGCCCAAAGTCAAAGTAGCAGACGTGGTTCTGGGAGACTTGACCTTAGAGGCAAAGGCTTGTAAGGCGATGTTGAGAGTTTAGGTCCAAAGTCAAAGTAGCAGACGTGGTCCTGGGAGACTTGACCTTAGAGGCAAGGCTTTTGAGGTGGTGTTGAGAGTTTAGGCCCAAAGTCAAAGTAGCAGACATGGTTCTGGGAGACTTGACCTACTTAGACCTTAGAGCCAAGGCTTTCAAGGCGATGTTGAGAGTTTAGGCGCAAAGTCAAAGTAGCAGACGTGGTTCTGGGAGACTTGACCTGAGAGGCCAAGGTTTGAGGCAGTGTTGACTGTCTGGATTCGCAGTCACAGTAGCAGACGTGGTTCTGGGTGACGTGACCTGAGAGGCCAAGTTTTTGAGGCGGTGTTGACTGTTTGGACCCAAAGTCAAAGTAGCAAATGTGGTTCTGGGAGACGTGACCTTGGACCAGGAGAAATTGCTGGCAATTGAAGGCACGAACAAGGTGGTTGGAGGCTTGCCTTCCAGGTCAAGTCCAACAGACATGGCTTGGAGAGTCTGGCCAAGAGCTTGGCTTCCAAGTCCGTGCGCCGCTCCAGGCGCCACACCTTCAAAACGGTGCGTCAGGAGGGCCAGCAACCAAGGCAAACCAGCAGATTTTGGTCCGTGGCCAAATGCATGCGCGGCTTGACATCCAAGTCAGGGTGTGCGCCGCTCCAGGCGCCACGCCTTCAGAAAGGTGTGCCTATGGGGCCGGCAGAGCGGTTTTGGGTGCGCTTGCCAGCCAAAAAGGGGGCGTGGCATCTGGAGCGGCGCGGCGTTCTAAGTGGTTAAGTTTACCGCGCGCGACGCCGCGCCCGGCCCTTCTAACACAGGTAGGACACACACCGAGAGGAAATTTGCTACGGAGTGTGAGCTTGTATTTGAACTCCTTCCAGGCATTGTAAAAGTACTGCCACGAGCCATAAACGGATCCAAGTAGCGTGATGCATGTCCATAGAGTGTTTGAAGATTTGAAGATGCGACACAACCTCGGAACACACAGGAATGGGATCATTTTTCGATTTCTGTCCACACGGATAAATCGACAATTCTCCAAATCTCCAAAACCTTTTCAAACCAAGCACAGAAACCTGCCAAAGTGTTTGAAAAAGTGTGCCATTGTCGTTGCAATTCAGCTAGTGCTCTGCTTGTCAACCAGGTCGATGGCAAGAAGCCGGAAAGAGGATTTTTTGGTGAATACTTCGATATTATGAAGGGCACGAAGCTCCTCGACTGCCACAAGCCTCAATTTCCTTGCGTTTTGGCTGCAGAATTCACGTCTCATTTGGAGAGGCTGTGTGCCAGATACCCAGTACTTGATCAGCATCTGCTCAAGATTGGTTTGTGGTTGCGGTTTCTTTTCCCGAAAGCCGATGCACGAATGTTGGCTCATTGTCTTGTGTCTTGTGTCTCTGGTCGGCGCTGTTGCTGTGTGTGGGAGACACTTTTCATTTTGCTCACATGCAAACTTGTCTGTGCACAACGGGTGTGTCGAATTGACATAGGCTTCTGCTCGCAGCCTGCACATTCCCACATCGTACCCATCACAGGAGCGAGCAATGCGAACAGGACCTTGTGAAGATGAGAAGCAACACGGCACGTGAGTCTCATTGACATGACCGACACAAACGTATCCGCAAAATACCATCCATTCTCAGCATATATTCTCCGTATCCGCTTGCCTGCAAGACACAAGGCTCGAAAATGCTGTTGAACATCACTCCATGCTCTTGCCCTTGGTTGTCAATGCTGAAAGCGGTAAACAAGCTAACCTTCACAGGCATCCCTGCACCCTTAAATCCAACACTTCATATCCAAACCCGAGCCAAGAGGGATGAAGACCGCCATGCTTTGGGTTTGGTTTGATTGCCTCGCGCAGAGGGCACACCGCCTGAAGGACGAGTCGGCTTTCTGCACTCGACTCAGGTCTCAGGGTTTCTATTAGCCTACAGGGTTTGAGTTTGAGGTACCTTTACAGTACCCCGATAATCTCCAAACTAGAGGCCCTAAGCCTTGAACTCGGCAGATAGAGACAGGAGTTCTTATGCGGTTGGCAACCGGTGGTTGTGGCTGCAAGCCACGACAAAAAGATCTCGAAGACTAAGTCACCATGCAGCACGTCGAAGCCAGAGGTGTAGTGCAGGAGTTTCGGTGTTTTATAGGGGTGTTGGCGTGTTAGTCCCGCAATCCGCGGCCTTGGGTTCTGGCTGTTTCGGGCTTTGGGTGCAGCCGTGGCCTTGGGCTCCAAGCTCCTCACTGAGCCGTTTAGGCCCCAATGCAGGAAGGATGTTGCTCGCCTCAAGCCGAGACCCCTTTTCAGATCTCAGAGAACTGCAGCCCTACGTAGAGGGATCGTCGTCTTTGCACGTCCTCGAAGGGGTTTAGAAGTCTGCGACGAGAGTCCTCGCCGAGAGAATGGTGGTTTTCGAGCATCGGAAAGAGCTTGCGCTCGCCTTGGCCGCCGGTGCTTTGCTTCTGGGCTTTCATTCGGGGTCCCTTTTCTTCCGAAGCTGCTCTTAGGGTAAATGCCCGTCTTCGATTTGCTGAGGGATGGCAGCAAATGGTCGAGTATTTGCCCGTCTTTGTCTACTCCTTTTGGGATCCGCTAGTGAAGCATCATTCCTACTTGTAAGAGCAGCTTCTCGTTACAAGATCGGATGTGTTTCCAGGTTGGCAGCCAGGCTTTGGTTCCGGAAGCGTGTTTCGGCACGCGACCGCTTCGCGGAGGTGCCAAACTCCTGGTTTCGCAGCGTCCAGTCACAGCTTGGTCCAGGGAACCGGCATGTGGTGGAGAAGCTGGAGGTGCCAACTGCCATTGGGGGGCGAACCCCTTCCAAGCCAAGTAGATCCCTAAGAGGACTGCAATTTCAGTCTCCGGACGTAGTTCTGGCCCCACCAAACGGCCCCCGAAGAAAGGAGTGGTCGGAGAAGCATGGCAAGGAGGGCTTCTTCGAGATGAACCTGGCTGGTTCGCGCATCGTGGTCTGCTGCACCTGGGAGAAGGCCGCCTCCGAGAATCCCCCCGAACGCAAAGAACAATTCAGATCCTGGAAGCTGGGCCCAAAGGCTGAGGGCCTGAATCCAAGCAGTTTAGTGAGCTTTGTGCAGCCTGGCCTAGTTCGCAACGGCAAGGGAGGTATACCTGGCTCTTCAGGTCCGATTGCCACACCAGGAAGGTAACGGCTACTAAAGAGTCAAGAAGGTCGCGGAATTTTCAGATGCGAGAAGTCAGCATAGATCCCAGTACTGTCATGAGAAACATGCAGGCACTCGTACCCCCGAAGCTTGCTAAAGCCATGTTACTGTTGCTTTGCGACAATGATTTGAGGGCTTTCTGTGCATTTGAAGCAATTGGAAACACAACCCAGAATTCGATAACATATGGAGGCACTGAACATGCCTAGAGATTTCTGGAAGATCTTCGGCTCCGTGATGTTAGGCCCAGCCCGTCCTCGCTCTACGTCCGTACAAGATGATTCAGAGCTCTACGCTGTCCAACTGCGAGGAAATTTAGGCAGGCCTCATCTTTTCTGAAGGGCAGAAGTGGCAGCGCGAGCGGCGACTGATTGCCCCAGTTTTCAATGCCAAGAACATGGAGAGTTACATCCCTGCTGTTGAGCACGTCACACAGCAACTCCTGACCGAACTGGACAAAGACATGTCTGCACAGGGGTCGGCCAACTTCACCGAGCTGCTACTATTCTTTGGTGCTGACGTGTTTAGCAAGACATCTCTGGGGCAGGATTTGAGCGCCTTGGAGAGTCGCACATGTGAGGTTTTTGCAGACGTCAAAGCCCTTTCCCTAGCAATCCGGCGACGGCTCATGTGGAGGCTGCCTTATTGGAAGATTCCCTGGCTTGCACGCTGGATCGACGGCGGTGCAGATGCCTCGGAGCGCATGCACAACACACTGGAGGAGATTATGCGAAAGGCGAGAACTTCAGGCAACACGAAAAACACCATTGGGCAGAAACTCACAGAGATGGTGGGTGACAGGTTCAGTCACAGGGAGCTGCTGGACACCTTGACAGTTCTCTTCATGGGAGGGGCGGAAACGACAAGCACCGTCTTGGGCTGGGCCTTCTACCACCTCTCGAGGGACCAGGAGCTCCAGGAGCAAGTGGCCAAAGAGGTCAGAGACCTTCCGCGTCCGGAGGGGACCTCCTTCCTCTCTTTCGCTCAGCTCAAGTCCTTGCTATGGGTGCAGGCGTCGTGCTTAGTTGCAACAGGACCAGTCTTTGCCATGCCCACCCCTGTGTCAGCAGGCGGTGTGGTTGGAAGCCCTCCGCTGCCACGGACCGGCTGGTTACATGCCTCTGGAAGCCGCCGAGCAGGTCACACTTCTGGGTCGCAAGGCCAGGCGCTGGTGGCTCTTAGCCAGGCTGTTTTTTGATTCATCCCTGGCCTCCTTAGACCTGGCACAAATACCTTTCCGCGCCACCTTCAAGCTACCTTCTCTATTCTCAGTGCGCTGCATGGACGGCATGTAGCATTGCTGTAGCATCCCTGCGCAGTAGAGAGTTCTGTTGACCTTCCGAGCCGACCTCTTGGTGGCTGGATGTCCGCATTGACATTCTTTCTGGTCTCTTTGAGATTCTGTTTGGGTAATACCGTACCGGAAACTCTGAAAGCATTTCCACACGAATAGTTGGAGAAGAAATCATAAACTCCTTTGTTCGAATGGAAGGGCGGGTGGCCTTATTCAAATCATCTAGAGGGGTGCGGGACCACTCCGGACAAAAAGCAAGAGCCAGGTGCCGGCAGGAACATCCGTCTGGATCGCGACGCGCAACATTCTCATGAACGACCCGGAGGTCACAAAGAGGCTTGGGGATGACTTGCACCTCTATCGTCCCTCCCGTTGGCTTGGGAAAGAAGGTATTTTCGACTTCGCCCCCTTCAACGACCTGGGATATGGACACGGACCCCGCATCTGCGTCGGCATGCCGCTGGCCAACTACGAGGCCCAACTCGTCATCGCCCGGGTGATCCAGCTCTTTGTCCTCCACTGGGGGACGAAGGCGCCGCTGGAGCAGACGACCTACGGCATCACCTGCAACATGGCCTCCGGAGCCGTCTCCATCAACCTGCACCGCCGCAATTGAACAACTGAGAGTTGCGGTACGGGAAGTTCCGGTGGAGGCTGCCAAGCTCGCTGCGTGAAGAAATCTTGGGCTGTTTTGCAGGATTTGCATCGCCCGCTGCGAAAATTTGCGGATCTGCTCCTTCGAAGGTATCCTCACAGGTAGCTGGGTTGGCGCATGTCGGTGAATTAGAGTGAACGAACCCCCGCCTTGATGGATGTCATAGTAACAATTTGTGATCACTTGCCGAACAGCTGCAGCGAATTGAAAGGTCTGATATTGACGGGGTATGGTGCTTGGGTTGTGGGCGCACGTAAGAGACGCCGGTATAATAAGTTGCATGCAACAGGTGTTCGGATTAAAACATGTAGTGTTGATTTTGGGATGAAGGGCGCGGCCATCGCGTGGCTGTTGCAAAACCGATGCAGGGAAAAGGGGCGGGAGGGTCTCATGGCCGAGGTCGAGTCGAACCATGACAAAGTTCAACTTGGCTCACCAGGCGGGGCTCCAGTGTGCCAGTGGCATTCGGGAGGGAGGTCCCTGGAGGCATGAGCATCAGATCCCAGATGTGAGGTTCCACCAAGGAAAAGATAGGGTCATGTTTCTTCCCGCATTCAGGCTCAGAAACCCTCCAGCCCAACCGAAATGTCCATCTTGGCAGCCAAGTGGTGGCCTCTCATCTGGCTGCAATGCAGGTATGCAAGCGCAATGGTAGCTGGTGCGAGTTGCCAGGAGGCCGATTTCCTTGCTATGCAGTTCCTGCAGATGACATCATCCCTGAATCCAGAGCCGCATTCATCGGTGAAGCCCTGGGACGTGAATTACTACATAGGTGGGCATTGCCGAAACCGCGCTTCGTGTTTAAGTGTCCAGGGTAGCAGTTTCCAGAATCTGCGGTACTTGGGGTGAGCCAGTCAAGGGGCTTTCGCTTGAGGCTTGAGACTGTCCCAGGTGTTACATACCACAAGTCTGGAACTCATCTTATGATGCAAGTGTGGAACCTGACGTTTGGTGCCCTCGGGGCAATGCCAGTCGACATGGGCCGATGGAGCCAGCCCTGTTATCCCGGCTTCTGTTACACACCAGACGCACCAATCCAGCTGTGGTTCAACCTCTACTCGCCTGAAAAGGCGCAAGAATCACGCAGTGAGGCTGCCGCCCGAGGCTTGCGAGGCCTGCGGGTAGCAGGATTTGTCCGCGACCCTGTGTCCATGATCGTCTCCGCCTACTGCTACCATCACCGGGGAAAGGAACCCTGGAACTTGGTGGAGAATCCCCACAACATCGTGACACACATGGGCCCAAGCGAGGGCCTCACTTTTCTCGGCGAACGCATGCTGCCCAAAGTCAAGAACATGACGGACGTCTTTGCTCACCCGGCCAACGACACTCTTCGGCTCGACTACGAGAAAACCACGGCTTCCTCCGATGGTTTTGATTCAGAGGTGAAAAAGCTGATCGACTTCTTCTTTCAGGGCTTCATTTCTGACGAGGAGAAGGCTTTGGTCTTAAATGCAACCCAGATGGCAGACCTGAGTCGACATCCTCTTGTGGAAACTGAGCATTCCAATGACGACGACTGCGAGGCGCGAACACGGGAGTATGTGCCAACCATGCCTGCGGATCTCTTGGCACAGTACCGGTCTTTCCAGAAGAGGCTAGGATATGCCCCACTCTGAGGACTCTGAAGGATAAATCAGCATACACACAATACTTGTAAAGATGTTGATTGTCACAGTCATACTTGCCGTCGGAGGCACAAGCACACTCATAGAACATACGCGTTTTTGGGGATGTGGAAGACTGTAATTGTTTTCCTGTCCATGGCAGACAGCCTTGACCTTAGGAGCAAGATGCTTCGCTCCATCGCAGGTTCAAAAGACTGTCGGGTGGTTCGTGCAGAATGGGTGAATGAATTTTTGCATCGCTACATGAAAGGATTCTGCAGCCACTGCTGACACGGGACCAGCTGCTTTTGGAGGTCGATTTGTTGTTGCATGCACGTCGAGTAGACATGGAGCAGGCAGCGGAGGTGGCCGCTCTGCAGCGTCAACATGATTCTACACAGGCGCAGGTGTTGGCTCGAGACCATGTGTCAGGCAGGCCTGTGCCGCACTTTCTCTTCTCCTATACCCGGCAATGTGGGAACTTCTTTTAAGAGGGATGATAAAAAAAACCGCTATCGGGGTTTGGATGAAAGCGTCTTTAAGTCAAGAACATTGCCTATTCCTTGTAAAACGATAAGAGTAAAAAAGAACGATAACCGAGATTTTTAGAACACGCAGTCCAATTGCCTGTAAAACGATAAGAGTGGCAAAAGGCGCATGAAGTAGATCACACAGACCCCAAGTCCTGTAAAACGATAAGAGTAAAATAAAACGATAACCATGTTAAGGGTCATGTAAATGGTTGGGGGTTATTCACGCACCCTCTTTCGGATAACCTACATGGTTAGCATCCCATAGTATCCATACCACTTATAGTGTCATGTAGTTTAACGGTTTAATGTCATCGAAAGATATGGCAAAGGGGTGCTCTCTGCCTTCACATCCGTGTTTGCCTCTGTCGATGGAGTCCCAGGCATTTTCTGCCGAGTCGCTCTGGTAACTGCCCCTCCTGTCAAAGCTGTGGGAGGTCTTCCGGAATTGCATCGACGAGGCCAGGAAATGGGCGGAAGGGTCCTACTGGCAAAATAGAACACACTCCTACCTGAAGTCGCAGCACTGGATGCTTCAGCCATCCAGTGCTGCAACTTGGGGTGTTAAGTGGTGTCTGGAGTTTGGAGTCGCTGATGGTGGAGCACGGGCCGTGCGAGAGCGGACGGCATCCGCCGTTTGCACTTCAAGGTGTATGAGTTCCAAAACATGAAGAAGCCCGGGGGCAAGACCTACAACGTGTTCTTCACCATGGATATGACATGCAGGATCAACCGCTGAAGATAGTCGGATTTAGCATATTGCCACAACCTGTTCGTCCCGTCCTGGCCCCTGACCACCTGCAATATCGAAGAAAAAGCAGCTCCTACTCGGGCCGAGAGAGTGGAACAGGCAGAAACAGCAAAGAGAGAAGAGCCGATTCGAGAGATTCGGCCGTTGTGCATCATGTGCTGGTGGAGTTCTGAGGGTGTGGTGAAGAAGGAATGTGGGAAGGCCTTGCCGCACTCCAAGGATTCCCCGCATTGACTTCCGGATGCCTGCGCACAGGCTGTGGTAGCATATTGCGGAAGCCGCGAGAAGAGAAAAAGACAGCGCATCAGCTTCTACTCATCCAGCCGAGTGAACTGCCGAAAATGATTCTGTCTTGCTTCTTGAGCCATAAATCCCTGCAGGCTACATGACCTTCGAGACATGCAGATTCCAGCAAGCTTGAGCCTGAGTGTAGCAATTCGGGCATCCCTGAGTACGGAACCTGATCAGCTAGGGGGAAGCCATAACATCCCAACAACAGAAGCCTTTGAGCTCGCTGTCAAACCGCAAGAAGAATTTCCGGCGTATAATATTGAAAACATGACAAGGTCACACTGGCGAGGTCTTCACCATGTTCTAATGAAACATGACATACCATGGTGAGAAGAAATCAAGAATATTTCAAGATAGGTGCATTTTCACGAGAAAATCACGAATGAGCAAGGTCTTCGATAGCCAGCACACATGCTCACTTTACACTTCTCTTCCACTGGCCCCCTGAATGAAAGTAAACAACATGTTCGCGCATTTACATGGCACAAACAGATCGCGGTGGGAGAGCCTTGACTTCTGGGTCCAAAGTTCTGAACCGCGAGTTTCAATAGAAAACGCTGCCTTAAACGCAATCTCACAAGCTTCGTTGGCCGGAAATCATGCTGGAGCAAGTGAGCCGCAGCGGCATGGCTTCTATAGACAGTGCCTAGTGCCTGCAAGAGCTTAGGCGGTGTGCACTACTTCCGGAGCTCCTTTACTCCTCGAACTTGTAGTACTAAGAACTGTTTAGATCCCTTTCCCTGGACGCATCCAATGATCTGCATGGTCAGCTGGGCCTCCCAGTTCCTAGGCCGCTTGGGTGTAGCGGCAACGCCGCCCTCGGATGCGAGGCTGGGCATCTTGTGTGTGAGTACACGCATCTCCGCTCCATCACTGGCTTCCTTTCTTGCTCTGCTCAAACAATTACCCATGAATAGCGCTGCGGATGTCTCTGCCATGAGATCTGGGAATTATGTGTGACGATCAGGGCAAGCAGTTGACCAGATACTCAAAACAACAACGTCATCACATCCAATACGAAACCCAAGTGCAAGCAGAAAAGTCCAACAACTCTGAGTCGTGCAGTTGTAGAAGACTGTAAGGAAGGTGAGTTTAGTGGCATGTTCCGCACCTTCCTGCTACTCCTTACCGTGGCCGTGGAGTCAGAGCCCTTGGAGTCCGCGGCCCCCGACAGCTGCGCAAACCAGAACCAGCCCTGCCAAGTGGATCTCCTCCAGCGTCGGCTGGAGCTGGACCTCAAAGCGAAGGCGGCGAATCAAAAGCCCCCGCACATTCTCTTCTTCCTGGCCGACGACCTCGGTTGGGCTGGGTTCAGAAGGCATCGCGAAAGTGCGAACTCGCCGGCCGAGGCCCAGGGCAAGGCGGAGATCCAGACTCCTCGCCTGGAGCAACTGATCCGTGAGGGCATCCTGTTGGAGCGCCACTACACCACGAACGACTTCTCGGCAAAGAGTCGGTGCTCGCTCTGGAGCGGTCGCTTGCCCGAGCACTGCTATCCTGACAAGGGAAATTTGGGGTTTCTGGGACTTCATCATAATGATCAGATGTACTGGAACCGCTCTAACAACGTGTCGGGCTTTGCCGGCATGCCGCGGAACATGACGGGCCTGGCTAAGCAGCTGAAGCAGGCTGGCTACGAGTCCCACTACGTGGGCAAGTGGGACAATGGCTGGGCTACTCCAGAGCACACCGCTTTGGGTCGCGGCTTCGACTCTTTCCTGGGATCTATGCAGCCGGGAACAAATACCTGGAAAGAGAGGCAATTCAACAACCTCAGTTACCAGGACATTTGCTTCAGCAAGTACCAGGACTTTTCCTTGTACAACAAGACGTACCGCAACGGCGTCACCCGTGAGATCAGAGCCGAGCTTGGTTGCAACTTCAGCTTCCCCAAAGATGCGGATCTAACAGAAACTGGCTGCCTTAAGGAGGACCCGACACAGTGCTTGGAGGAGAGCTGCCTCCAAGATGCCATGTTCCTGCGGTATGCCCTCAAAACCATCGATGCTCATGACGTAGCGAAGCCCCTCTTCCTGACCGTCGCTAGTCACATGGTGCATACCCCTTTGGCGGTGCCGAAGTCGACTCTGCGGGAGTTGGACAAGCTTGTTACCGAAGCAGGTGTGGAGAGGAAGCTGGCTTGGACAAAGAATCGTCGGTTGATAGCAGCTAGCATTCTCTACATGGACAAAATGATGGGTGCGCTGGTTGATGCTTTAAAAAAGCGGGACATGTACGAGAACACCCTAATTGTTTTTGTGTCTGACAATGGTGGGGGAGCAAACTTGGAAGAAGCATCAAGCAACTATCCACTCAAGGGAGGTAAAGGCAGTGATTGGGACGGATCCGTGCGCACAAATGCTTTTGTGTCCGGGGGCTTCGTCCCTCCGGATAAGCGAGATAGTACATTTCACGGGGTGATCCACATCGCAGACTGGTATGCCACTCTGTGTAGCATTGCGGGTGTGGATTACTACGATTCGGCTGCAGCGGAAGCTAATAAGGATCTTTCTGCCAAGGGCCTGCCTCTGTTACATCCTGTGGATGGCCGGCCGCAGTGGCCAAACATTCTGTCGGGCACCAATGCGCGAAGTGATACGTTGTTCCTCAGCAGATTTTCCTTGTTGCGCTGGCCCTACAAGTTGGTGACCGGGTTGCAGCCGTACTTCTTTTGGCCGGGCCCGGTGTGGCCCAATTGCAGCTCCGACCGTCCCGAGGAGGACTTCTACGACATTTTCAGCTACCGCCTGCCGGAACACATCGTGCCCGACCTGCGCGAAGACTTTCAGCTTGCACACGATTGCGGCAGTGGCTGCCTCTACAATGTGGAAATGGACCCGGGTGAGCGGTCGGACCTTGCTGCGCGTCCTGCATTTTCGCAATTGCTTGAGTCTTTGGTTCATGAGCTCGCAGTCTTGAACCAGAAAGCGGTTAGATTCAGAGGAAAAACTGGGGTGCCGTGTGTGGAAGCTTGCTTGACAGCTCTTGACAATGCTGCGGGTGCCCTCGGACCATTCGTGGACATCGAGGGCTTCTACACAGACAGGCCTTTCCTGAATGGCCCGGCGGCAGATGCTGCTGACCGCGACCGACAGCAGATTCTAAGCCTGCACAAGGCCTTGCAGGAGCGCCCTGAAGAAGTCGTCGAGATGGCGGCCAAAATCGTGAATTCGAGCTGGAGGCCTCCCGTAGACTGCCTTGGCTGGTAAACTCCGGAATCGGAGTCAAGGGGAAGGCGGGCCAATAGTGCCCAGAACTAGTTTGTCTCCTAGCGCATCTTAGCGCTGTTCAGCGAACTGAACTGTGTCGTCGTGCCGTGCTGGCCAAGGACGTAAGGGCCTTGCTACCTGCGTGCTGCTTTTGACCCCGCCCCGAATTGTGAAAGCATTGCGCCGGTGAAAGAAAGGCCTCTTCTAATCGCTTGCAGCAGCCACTTCTAGCCGTCCAGCATGGAAGCTGTCCTCGCTTCAATGTGGGAGTGCAGTGAGCGGGCAGGGACTTCGGATTATCCTTTGACCTAGTCGGACCTCAAGTATCCTTGTCGTTGCAGAGGCGAGACGGACTTCGTTGCACATCTCTGTCGTCTGTGAGCCGGAGGCGATGAGCTTTAGGGCAGGGATTGGGCGTACTAGCAGAGGTCCCCTCATTGTGAGTCCTTGGTGGTCGAGTCCGCGGCAATCAACGGTTTCAGCTCCCCATTCGCATACATGACCCAAGAAGTCTAGAAAGCACGGCGCGGGCTGGGTTAGCGCGACATTTCTTGAGGTGTGATTCGGTTCCCGAAATAGTAGACAACTTCCGACCATGAGTGCGAGCGAGTTCTTGAGGATTTCCGATGTAGAGTGACTGGGCGTTTATCCAGGTTCGACTTCAGGGCTGGGCAGGGGACACGAGCATATGCTCCGGATCGTCGCTCAGACAACCGTCGCAATGCAAAAGGCATTGGGGCGAGAGCACCCGAGCTTTGCAGAAGGCGAGCTGGTCGCCACCAGCTGAAGTCGTGCACTACTCTGGAATGGGCACTACAGCTCAGTCGCTAAAGGACTTCCCGCCCTACCCCAAGCCTCAACACGTGCCGGGCCCTCCGGGTCAACACATCCACCCCAGCCATGCCCATTTGCCAAGTTCCGAAGCCGATGTCGGCTGGCGCCCGCACATGTGAAGAACCTTGCAGCGCCTTGAGCCAAAAATGTGCTGAACGCACAACGGCTCTAGGTCATCTGATGTTTCTTGAAACTCTAGACCCTAAGCTCTAAACCCCATTCAGCTTCAAGAGACTTTGGCTCGGTCGCACTGGTCAGGTCTGGCTGCCAACACCGGCGACGACAGGCCTCGTGGCCCTGGGTGACGAGGGGCTGCCATGAATTGGAGAACGGGTCAGTCCGTTAAGGATGTTGTCGCTCATTTGTTCATGGAGTTAGGCTTGTGCCGTTCGGGGCTACAGCGCTGGCGACTTGCTCTCTTTCGAACTCTCGAGAATGGAAGCTGGAGCTGTTTCAAATCGACGGAGAGCGTTTGGCATTGTTGTCGATAAATACCAGTACCGCGGTCTGCAAACTTCGGGAAGCCAAGACTCTGGAGGTCCGGATATCCTGAAGGGTACGAGCTACGTGGCCTTCTTGCCCCAACAGCCGCAAGGACTCCCCGGCGAGTGAGCGCTGACCTGTCCCGGCCTTCCGGACGTACCTTCAACCCTCAAGCCCTCAACCATCATATCCAGACTCCCTAAACCCTAAACCCCTAAACCCCAACTGGTATCGTCAACACGTGTGCTTTGCTGAGAGGACACCGCTCTCGCATCGTTGTCTACACGAAGTTCTCGCTGGTCGAGCAGACCACTCCATCCTTCCTCGAGCTCAATGACACCTCCTCTTCCGTTGCAGGTAGTGTGCTCCTCAGGCTGAGATTCCCTGTGCCAGCTGGAAGGGCCTGAGACGGATGTCCTTTGTATCATGCTGTTGGAATGTCAATGTCATCTTGTTGTTCGATCTTCCTGCTTCTTTCCAGCCAGCAAGGTCACACGTCATGTCGAGCAATCAACAAGCATCACGGTTCGCCCCTCTGGGTCAAGGTTCGTTGACCGGGATTCTTGAAGGGGAGCCCAGTCGTGCGCATGGGTATACTACGCCTTTAGCGGCTCAGGGCGAGTGGCACCTATCTATCTCTCTCCGTCTCTCTGTCTTTGTCTTTCTCTAGGTTTCCCGACGTAGCTTGCAGCCACTTTAGTCTAGCTGGTGCAGCAGGAGGTGTTCAGGCGCAGCGAGCTGACGGACCATTCGCCTTAACAAGCATGGCACTTCGGTGCGAAAGCGCGACAGCCTTACGAGTGTTATAACTTCTGCCATGAGTGTCATCCGAAGGAAACGCGAGCAAGACCAAAGCCTGAAAAGACTGCACAGAAGTTTGGACCTAGGAGTGATATTACTTGGGTTAAGCCTATCGACTGCTCGCAAGTCACCCACTGCTCTGTGGCCTGGTGACAGACTGTGGAGTGAGAGGTTTTCATTCTCAGACTATGTAGCTAGTGCAGCCTGTTGCATCATCGTTTCTCCGAGGCTTCGGCGAGTCCACCGGGGTGGCTAAACGCGAGGCCACGTGGGCTGAGGAGGAGTTGGGATGCCTGAGTGTTGAGGCAAGATGTGTGGTCTGAGACATGTCCCGGTTGTCGCATGATCTCCCCGGTCAGCCCGCGATATGCCTGTTACCGACAAGATTGCCTAAGATCAGAGCTTGGTGACTAAAGGAATCCCAGTGCAGATTTTGGGAAGTCAGTGTGAGCTGAGGCTGAGGCAGTATCGAGGGCTCCGGTGCCACCGCACCATAGCTGGCCTTCTGGCATGCCAGTGAGGGCGGCAATTCCAAGTTTAGGGTTTAGGGCGCCAAAGGCGCCAAACCCAGGGTCCTTTTTGACCGAACCGTCGCGTACGAACATCGTCGCGGACGAATCCATCCTTCATGGGGTCAAGATGTTCTCCGGGTCTTGCCTGTGCATGTCATCCCCACACTTGCTGCACAAGTCCAGACATGCTCCGCAACACAGGTGTGCATGGCCCGAGACTGGAGAAAACCCTACTCCAGCACCCTTGCAAAGCTACATAGGGAGCGTTGGGGCCATGGCATGCAGTGCTTTCTCCTTAATTTTGATCCTTGCTCCGTGCTGTATCGCTCAGAAGGGCTCTTGTCTGGATGGGGAGTGTGCAGCCAGCTGGATACAGACGCAGATAGCGTTGCAGACCCATGTAAGAGGAACTGCGCTGCACGGAGGGCATGCAACGACTCAGAGCTGGAATCCTTCTGATATCGAAACTGCACCGGACATGAACGGAAGGCTGTGCCATTTGTGCACAATGCCTCCACCGAAGCGTTCAGATCGTGAGTACGTGCAACGAACCGATTGCGGCAACCAGAGCATTTATGAGCATCCGGAAAACTGGGACAAGGCCATTGTCCAGTTCAATCGACCGGCCGAGGAAGGCCACAATGCCTCGACTGCCTTCTGCGAGTTGAATTATCAAAAGATGTGTGCAGATGCCATCTACAACAGGGACTGGCTTTTTCAAGCAAAGGCCGTTGATATCCGTCGCTCTTACGGCACTGACTACGACCCTTACTACTGTTACTACAACGGTTGGCTGTCACCCGAGCTGAAGGCCCTGCAACATGACTTCGATGGCATGGACATGAAAGCGAGGCGGTTCTGTGAATCCCACGGAGATGCCTGGCAGACGATGACAATGAGGGAGGCGGACGTGATCTACTGGCGTGGATATAACCGCAGCGGCCTGCCGACAAGGGAAGAGGCCCTGCTCATGGCTGAGTGGAACTGTGCTATGGGGACGGTAGCTTGCGACATGGCATACTGTGCCTACAGTTTTTGCGAACTTGCGAATGGGAGCATCGGTACGTACGACGACTGCGAAGGATGGGATCCAGTCCAAGGTATGCCTGCACCAGTGCTGGCTGCATAAGACAACCAGCCTGAGGCAAAGCTACGGTATGCCGTACATGTTACTGTTCTCTGCCCACCTGCAAAGCGCATGCGCTTGTGACATAAAACTAGAGGAGCAGCAGGCTTTTCGCTCTAATCGAGACTCACACTACAAAGGGTTCAAAACTCTACGAATTTGAAGTGCGAGACGTGGATGCCATAAATTGTTGTTTGCAACAGAGAGGCCACCCAGCGGTTTAAGCGGCTCACCATAAGAGCAGCTGCATGTTGGCTCGTTTGACATCGCCCTTGCAGGCAATTTAGAATGTACAATCCAGATGAGCTTCAGTGAAGGCTCCAGGAGGTTGGGGGGCAAGGATAGGGCTGGAGGGGTTCGGCGCAGGGGCTGAACACAACTGTCGTTTTTCTGGCCGCAGCCACATGTGCTTCGTCTTCGTTACTGTATAGTTTGCCATTTAGAAGGTGTCGGCATGAGGCTGGCACAGGTTGTAGTGATCGCACTTGCAAGCCATGCTGTCTGTGATGTTACTTCAGCTTCCAACTGGCAGAAGCAGGCCGCTGACAGCTGCTCGCAGCAAGACTGCTTGCACTTGCTGCAATACGATGTGGCGTTGGAGCCGCTCAAAACACAGGGCATCCCGTCACTTTCTGCACTCAGTTACGAGGCTTACAGTTCACGGTGGCTTGCACAGAAGATGCGGATGCCTACAAATGGTGACCACCTCCACGGACAAGGAGACCTGGCAGAACTGGGGCATCGATTCGGCTGGGTGTGCCGCTTTGTCGTGATTGCCACCTGTACAATTCTGGCAGCGGCATTGCTCGGAGCGCTCTGCATTGGGCTGCCGCGAAAGCAACCGAGAGATCGCTGCGAACCTGTCGACTGGACTCTAACGGTGTACCTGTGCATCGTTACCAGGTACCACATTCATTTACTTTGGCACTGACCAATACATTCCAAGTCTTCCGCAGATGGAGCGGGATCTGAAAGGATCTGAGACGCTTCTCAGTGGTTCGGTCCAGCTGAGCTTCCTTGTGAAAGCCCTGGCCGCATTGGTATTCACACCTCTCTCCGATTATATTGGACGGAGGCCGATATTTGTCTCGGGCCTAGTTGCATTAGTCATGGGGTCACTCGCCTCTGCATTCGCGCCGAATGTTTACTGGTATCTTGCGGCTCGGAGCATCCAGTCGCTTGGCGAGGCCGTTGAGCCACTCGTCTTTGCCACCATCCGCGACTGCTTCCCAGACATGCAAGAACGGCTGCTGTGCATGTCTGCCGTTGGATCGATGTCCTTGATTGGTAAAGCAAGCGCACCAGTCCTTGGAGGAATCATGGCCGAGGCCACGCACTGGCGGCTGCCTTTTCTCGCCTTGTCTCTGGTTTGGACCGGCTTAGCGTATTGGGGAGCCCGATATCTTTCAGAAAGCAGCCCTGAGACTGAGTACTACAGCTATTCCAGCAGGCTGGCACGTGTGCTCTCTGATCCATGGCTTGTGACGATACTTCTTACGCAAAGTGGCATCTACGGGACTTACTACTCATTCACTGCGAACATCAGTTACATTGCGGAAAATGTCTACAACCGGAGTGTCGCCACGACCTCTTACCTTATAGCTGGTTTTTCTGTGTGCTCCACTGTTGGCATACCTGTGGCACAGATCTTTCGCAGCTCTTTGGCTTGTCTGCAGTAGAGGGTGTTGGTTTCAAGAGTTCCAACCTTGGACATCGCAGCCAAGGCTCCAGCATCCTGCGAACAGCACAAGTGTGGGTGACAGCCTTTGGTGTGGGCAGTGGCCTGATCTTCTTGCTGGCAGCCACTCGGTCCCATCTGTTTAAGAATACAGCGGAACATCTGATAATTACCTATACCATGTTGCGGGTTCCTTATTATGGTTGTGACATAGTATACTCCAAAGCCCTATTCATTATTCTACTTAAGGCTCCTAAACCCACCCTAAACTGTTGTCCCGAAGCTTTCCGATTTCCTGGAGCTGAGGCCTTCCTATCCGACAAGCTTTGGAGCTACACTGGCAGTTCCATGATCATGGGCTTCTGCTACACCTGCTGCATTCCTTTGTCCGTGATGTACCTGGAGCCTGTGTCCGACATAGCAGGCACGGCAACCGCCCTTCTCGTCTTTGCGCAAGGAGGAGGGGGTGATAGAACCCCCAAAACAGCTAGGTCGCAGCTAGGTTACAGATTATGACCAGCCCCCCCCCCCCCCCCGCCGCCCCCCATTGTCGAACAGAGGACCGCCTGCCGTCTTCTCCGCAATCGCGACGCAGTGTGCGATCTGGGATGGCCAGCGAGGCATCACAGCCTTCCAGGCTGCAAGCGCTCTGCTGACAGCGGCGGTCTTCTGGCTGGGCCTGGGCGGCTCCCGGGACGCCTCGGGCCTTGGACATGGCGTTGATCCGGAAGGAAAGGCGGCAAAGTGACGGATGAGGAGGCTGAAGTCTACATTAGAGCCTTATGAAGTTTGGTTGCGATATGGCATACGGCGCTTGCAGTTTTTGTGAACTTGCGGATGGGAGCATCGGTACGCATGACGACGGCGAAGGATGGGACCCAGTCCAAGGTATGCCTGCAGCAGTGCTGGCTGCATGAGACAACCAGCTTGAGGCATAGCTGCGGCCGGCATGCTGTACATATTACTGTTGCCCTGCCCACTTGCAAAGCGCATGCGCTTGTGACATAAAACTAGAGGAACAGCAGGCTTTTCGCTCTAATCGAGACTCACACTACAAAGGGTTCAAAACTCTACGAATTTGAAGTGCGAGACGTGGATGCCATAAATTGTTGTTTGCAACAGAAGGGCCACCCAGCGGTTTAAGCGGCTCACCATAAGAGCAGCTGCATGTTGGCTCGTTTGACATCGCCCTTGCAGGCAATTTAGAATGTACAATCCAGATGAGCTTCAGTGAAGGCTCCAGGAGGTTGGGGGGCAAGGATAGGGCTGGAGGGGTTCGGCGCAGGGGCTGAACACAACTGTCGTTTTTCTGGCCGCAGCTACATGTGCTTCGTTACTGTATAGTTTGCCATTTAGAAGGTGTCGGCATGGCGTAAACCCGAAAGATACATAGGACGCTGCACTTGAATTTCAAGCTACTGGTGTAGACTCTTGGCAGAGTTTCTGATGTGATCTGATCTACGGACATGCCTCGTCTCAGCATGTAAGGAAGCGATAATACAGACAACGACATTTCACGATGTCGAAGTGTTCTTCGCTGCAACCTGAAGGTTCCTTCCCTTCCGGAGTTTTGTGGCTCAAGTTAGAACTGAGTAGGCATGGCCCGGGCTCATGGTTGCCGGAGTGCCAAGCTCGATGGATTCTGCGGCGGTTGGCTGGCTAGCGCAAGACACCAAGAAGTGAATGGTTTTAAATCCAGCCTGGCCTCAACTTGAGCTCAGCCGTGCCTAGGTGAACATGCTGCCGATTGGGGAACTGGTGGCCAGAATGCTTGACATTCCAGCTAGCGGTTGGGTTCTAGAAGCTGGAAATGCAGGTATACTTGGCAGGAAAGACTTGCCTTTGATGTCTGCATCCTCAAGATCACGATTATTCATGACTTGAAGGACTTGACAGGCAGGGCCAAGTGGTACTGCTCAGTGTTGGTGGTCTGCGGAATCTTCCATCTCTGCTTCGCTGATCCGGAAGGCTTCCTGTATCCAAGCGCGGCGGGCTGCCAGTAAGGCACGCTTTTTGCAGGCAACTCTGGCCGCAGATACATGACCGGTGTCCCTTTCCCTTGCATGCAGATGTGGCTAGAGCGTGAGCTGGCGCTGAGCTGCGCTTCGATGTATGTTACGTGCTTGAGAATGAGTGTATCCGCCCCTAATCTGGAACGCTTTGAGGAACATTTTGTAGAAGCTCACCCGAACTTCGGCAAAAGGGTGGCCGGCAGGACCTTTGAGACGAGACCATCCTTGCGTTGTCATGTGGGAAGTAGTGGCACTAGCTCTGGGATTCCGCGCTTCAACAAGAACTGAGACAGTCTCATGATTTACGCATGAGCGTTCGTGTGAGGGTTTTAACTGGTCGTGTCAATTCACTGGAACCATAACACAGCTTCAGATGCCAGTGTGCTCCTGTCGTCTTCATGGTCATGTCTGGGTGCCAGCTTGACTGTCAGGCAGTGCCGACACACCGGGCAACAGGCTGCGCCGCAGGGCCTCAATCGAAGTGCGATACGGCATGAGTGGTGTTCTCCCTGTCTGGCGACCACCCAGCCGGGGCCTCAGTGGACAAGTGTGGACGTTGCGTTCCAGTCCAATCTTGGCTCTTCGTGTCCAGGCAGATGCAGCCGCAGCCGCACTGCGGCGTGTGTGGAGCTCCGGTGTCAATCCTGCCTGTCGCACTGGCCAGATCAGCGAAAGTCTCGAATCCGTACAGTGTGGCTCCACAGCATCTCCGGCCCGCTGTCTAGGCAGATGCAGCCGCAGCGCGGCGTGTGCGGCGCTCCGGCGTCGATCCTGCCTGCATGTGGCATTGGCCAGATCAGCGAAAGTCTCGAAGTCGTACAGAGTGGCGCCACAGCATCTCCCGCCCGCTGGCCGCCAATGTTGGCAACATGTGGGCATCGCGCCGTTGTCTGCCAAGCGTCCGGTGACCAGTGCCTCTGTCGAGATCTCTTGCGATACTCATTGCCTGAGCGTGCGTGGTGTTCCACCTTGGCCACAAGGCCGGGCCTCATGTTTAGCGCCCTTCGTGTACAAGCTTGTGCGGACATTGAAATCGTGCACGTCCGAAGCACTGCACCTTCCACCGCAACCCGTTCCAACACATGAACTGCAAACTTTGACGGGGAAGGATTCAGAGCTACCCAGGGTTGAGGGTTTCGAAACCACGGCTCTGGCAGTCACAGCCTCAACTTCAGCACAGCTAAAGGCACGTAATGGCCTCTACCAGACGCAATAGTTTACCACCTTTTCGTCGTCACCCTGCGACGACGAGGTCTGGCCAGTAATGCTGGAAAAGCCTGTCACAGCAGCCTCTAAGATCTCGCCCTTTTGTTTTTGTCTTTCTGCCTGAATCTTCTCAAGACGCTGCACATGGATGGAGGTGCTTAGTTCACACAGTCAAGCCCTAGGCCCCAACTGTGAAAGCTGAAGCGTTCTTCCCACCCTCACCAGGTCACAATATCCGTCTTGTTCGCAGCACTGTCGCGGCTGTCTTTGTCATGATAGCTCGCCGAGACTGAGCTGTGAGCGTTTATCCGATGTTGAAGCTTATCTCAAGAATGTCAAGTTAGTCTTGAGCTCTTGGGCTTGCTCTTTCACCGGTTTTTGGAGGGTTTTGGGTTTGTTGGGTTTGGGAATTTTGGGCCGCTGTTTAGGGTATTGGGTTTCTGTGCTAGGGGTTCAGGGCTTGAGGTTGGGTATGATTCATAGACACATCTACCAGAAGAAATGCCGAAGACTCCGATCCGACTAGGTCAGATCAGCTAAGGCCAGACGCCTACAGCATCGCACTCGTGGTTCAGCGCAACTCCTGCCTGCGGCAGAAGGCAGGGCATCCTTGTATTCAAGTTTGCCGAGCATCCGCGCCCATAGAGGTCCCCAAAATCTGTTCGCAAACAATCCGAGGTCCCACTGCCACGGTGCGGCTTCAAAGCGTCTCCTGTGCGGGCAGATGGCCGGCGGCTGGCATGCAAATCCTTCCTGAGCCAAGCTTTCTCTTGATCTGTCGCTGAGCTGCTCCTTCGAGATCCACGCGAACATCATGTGCGCGAGCGTGAGTGTTTCCACCTCGCGACAACACATGGCTGACCTGCATGGTCTCGTGCTTCTTGCTCGCGACGCGCTTCCGCGGAAGCCTTTCCCTGCAATCCGGTCTGATCAGCGACAGCAGATGCGTCTGCAAGTCCACCGTGGCGTCTCGGTGGGGCCATTGGTGCCTGAGCACAGTTTGCAGGCCTGGGTCTTGCGGTGGGCTGAAACTTGGGTTTTGGTTGGAGGCAGTGAGAGGGAAGCCATACGGTTGATGATACAATGGGAATTATGTTGTATTATTTTGTACATTCCTCATTATGGGTACGGCAGGGTTTACAGTATATCATCAACCGTAGGTCAGGACATTCGTGATTGGTGCTTTTTTTCGGCTGTTCTGATTTCTGGCTCCCCCATTTCTGCAAAGACCTAACGAAACGGTTCTCCAGCAAAGTCCAAGGTCCAAGAATTTTAGGATTGAAGACCTAAACATCCTGACAACCACCCCACCGACCCGTCACCGCGCAATCCCCACCCCCACACCTCCAACCTATCCCCCATCTCCACCACTCCCCCCCTCCATCCACAGCGCTTCCACCATCCCCACCCACGTGGCTCGCAGGCTGCGTCGCGAAGAAGCACGGTGCCATTGCTGAGCCGCGTAACTTCCATTGAGCTGCCGCCGAGCTTCCCTGGCTACGAGATGCACGACGCAGCGCACTTTTGAGGACTCATTCGGCCAGGTGCCATTGGGGCGACCTGGCCCGGTGCCGACATGTGGACTATATTGGAGGCTTGGTCGTCCCGTAACTCCGTTTCCAAAACGTTGCCTCTGTGGAGCACGGCCTCAGGGCTCGGTTTCTGGGATGAGGCGCGGCCGGCAAAAGTTGTCGTGTAGCACACGTGTGTGCGCATGGACATGAGCGATTCGTCGTGCCGGCAGCTGTCCCGGCTCGACATCGCTTTTTCGGCGATCAGACGCTCTGTAGCATCTCCACCCGGCCTTGCCATGTCTTTCTCGGCGGTGGATCTCGAGGCGGCCTTTGCGGTGATCCTTGCGGCGTTGGAGGAGGGGGAGGACTTGGCTCCCTTCCTCCAACAGTTCCCCGCAGGCGCCCGGCGTGCCTTGATTTTGATGCTGCAGGCGTCGCTCCCGGCGAGCCGGACAGCAGGAAGTGGAAACCCGGCACCGCCTAAGGCGGCTGCGCCGGCAGTTGGTCCCGGCGTTGGTGGAGCATCTGGGTCTAACGATGGAGCTCCCGGCGGCACTGGTGCCTCTGGCTCGCACGACATGGCGGCGTCTGCCGCGGCGGGGCAGGCCATGCCGGAGCCTAGCCCGGAGCCCCCTGCAGCTTCGCAGGCGCCCGGCTACCCGGCACCCTGGCCGGTGCCACCGATGCAGAAGCGGCCTCCACCGGTGCCGGCGGGAAGCGGCGATGGTCAGCAGCCGTCCCCGGCGACGGCGGCCCCGGCTAAGCCAAAGCCGAAGGGCCCGCCTGTCGCCCTGTGGGCCTCCGAGGGCTTCAACTCGGAGGCGGATGCCCGGCAGGCCAGGGAGCTGAACTTCGTCACCGCGGCGGAGTTCTACGCGGCCTGGGCGGCGGCATCTGCGAAGCAGTCATCTTTCCCGCCGGCGAAGCCGGCGCCGGTGGCCAAGACGCCGGCCCCCAATTCAGCGGAGATGACGGCGCTGCAGAACCAGATTGCGGCAGAGATCGCGGCGGGGACCCCGGCACAGTCGGCTCCTGCCGGCCCTGCGGCCCAGGCGCCCGTCCCTCCCGGCTTCGTCCGCATGGAGATCCGCGGCGTCATCTACACGGTCAACCGGACCACGGGGGAGGGCTTCCCGGAGTTGCCGCGGCGTCCCGGCCGGGGGGCGTCGGAAGCAGAGCGCCGCCACAACGATGAGCTCTTTCGGCGGCTGGTTGACATTCGCTTCCGGCTCTGCTCCGTCGAGTGGCAGAACCACATTCGGCGGATCAACCAGGACGGCGCCTCCTCGGACGTCCCGGTCCCGGCGGCGATGTTGGCCTCCATCGTCGACTCGGTGGAGGCCCTCGAGGAGCTCGAAGACCGGGCGCGGCTTGGCGGCGGTGCGGCCACGGCCGTGGTGCCCACGTCTCCCGGCGCAGCGGACTATATTGTCCGCTCGCTGGTTCCAAACCATCGCGGCGGTCGCATCCCCGAGCGGCTGGCCGGCGAGGTCTGGTGTGTGGGCTGGTGTGGACGGCCATGTCCCGGCTTTGAGGGCGTCTGCCAAAGCCCCGGCGGCAGATGCCTCCGCCCGATCCTCATTCGGCGTGGCGGCACAGTGGACCTGGAGGCGCACATCAATCACCTGTGCGATGCGTGCCGGCGCTACCGGAACGCGTGACGGCCGGTTCTAGTGCCACCCGCCGGCGGGCTACTTTGACCTCGGCGAGCCCTGCCTCTTCCTGGCGCTCGCCCGCATGGTAGGTCTCCTGGCGTAGCCCTTTGCCGGTTTCTTCTTTTTGGGTCTCGGCGGTGCCGCGACGCCTTCGCGGGCCTCTCCGGCAGCCGCTGGCCCACGATGCTTTAATTAGTTTCTGCAGTTGCTTCCCGGCGTGCCGTAAGTGCAGGTCGGGAGGCCCAAGAGCCTCGGATCATAGCCTGGCGCGAAAAGTCGGCCCGGCGGTGTGTGCCTGGTGTGCAGTCGGCGCAAGTGGCAGTGCTGTCTCCTACCCGGCCCGCCCCCTCCGACCCTAATCGTCGCGTTCGTTGAGGTCGTAGCGGCTCAAGCTCCCCCCCGGCTCAAGGATGTCGGCGGTTGATCTCTCGGCCGGCGGCGGGTTCGCCCAGGTGGCGCGGGCCTTCGTCGACATCCAGGCTCAAGAGTTCCTGCCGATCCTGCCGGCGGTGGGGGTGCACGACCTCCGAGGCGCCTTGGACAACACCGGCGCACTGCTCCTGGCCGGCGTGCCAGACCTTAGGCTGGGGACGTGGCGCCCGGCCCCGGAGAGCTCAAGTCGAGCCCCGGCGCCCAGCCCGGCGGAGAGCAGGTTGGCCCTCCCGCCAGGCGAGCAAGGCATTCAACCGGCAGCGCCCGGTGACCCGGAGCCGGCCCAGGCGCAGCCGGTCAGGGCTGACATCCCGGTGAGGCGCGACGGCCGGCGGGCCTGCAAGAGGACGGCCCTTCAGGCAGCCTTGCCAGAGCTCCAGGCGGAGTCGCTGGCGGACCTTGACGGCGCCATCATGGCGCGCTCCTCGGAAGGACCCTTCCGGTGTAGGGTCCGGACCTGGGTGGACTTCACGGCGGCCTGGGCCCTGCCGGCGTGGCCGATCTCCCTGGACTCCGTCAGGAAGGTCGCGGCGAGCATGCGGAAGGGCAGGTACCGCTCGGCGCAAAACTACTTCGACGCGGCGGTGACCTACCAGGAACACTTCCGCGGCGAGCTGGTGGACCCGCTAGTCCGGCGGGCCATCCGGCGTTACGCCAAGGCAGTGGTACGTGGCCTCGCGGGGTCCAAGCTCAAGGCGATCTTCCCGGCCATGCGGCTGGAGCCTCTGCTGGATCCCTCGCCGGCGTCCGCCGCGGAGCCTTGGGCCCCATGGAAGGCGGCGCACTCGGCGGACGCCCTCCTCCTGGCGGTGTGGTTCATGCTGCGTGAAATCGAATTCGCGGCGGCCCGCACCGAGGACATGGAAGCCGGCGAGGACTGGGTCCTTCTTCGCATCCCCCTGCACAAGACGGCGCAGGGTGGCGAGAGAGAGCTAACGGCGCGGCAGCTCCGCTGCGCTTGCGGCATCCAGTCCCGGCCGATGTGCCCGGCACACGCTGCGCTGCGCCACGTGTCCCGGCTGAAGGCGGCCGGCCTCTGGGTCCGAGGCGGGCCCTTGTTCCCGGACGCGGCGGGTAACACCTGGGCCAAAGGCGAGACCGTCCTGCTCTTCCGGCGGGTGTTGCTGGCCGCCGGCGTGGCCCTCACCACGGTCGACCACGAGGGCCAGATCGTGCAGCTGTTCGCCGGCCACTTGGCGAGGGTCGCCGGCGCGGCCTGGTTAGCATCCAAGGGAGTGCCCACGGCGATCATCCAGTTGCTGGGCCGATGGTCCTCCACGGCGGTGGAGCGCTATGTTCAGGCGGCCCCGCTCGCGGTGGCCCCGGAGATCCCCGGCCGAGTCTTGGCTGGGAGCTACGGTGGCACGCAGGCCACCGATGAGGCCCGGCGAGCCACGGCAGGAGGAGTGGCGCCTAGCCCTCAGGCCCCTGACCCCCCGGCGCAGATGGAATCGCCGGGGGCGCCGGATGACCAGGCAGAGTTCTCTCCGGCGGTTCTGCTGGTGGACGCCCCGCCTAGGGGGCCGGCGCCCGGTGGGATCGGACACCCGCCGGCGCGGGAGGACCTCATCTACAACGAGAAGGGGGCTAAGGTGCACCGGCCTGACCCGGCGGAAGCTACCACGGAGCAGTTCCTCTGGAGGTCCAGGTGCGGCGCGTGGCCGTATGGCATCCGGCGCTTCTTCAGAGTGTCCGAGAAGCCGGCGTCCGCCGCCTGGTGCGCCCGCTGTTTCCCGGCGCCGGCTCCGGGGGAAGGTGAAGGTTCACCGACCGAGCCGGTGGACTCACCGGTGGCGTCCAGCTCGGCGTCCGAGTCGGACAGCTCGTCCTCGTGAGAAAACAGACGGCGAAGGCGGTCCTTAGTGAGCGGCTGTGGTGTGCCTCCCTTGCTGGCGGTTGAGTGCTAGATCGCGGCGGTAGCTCTCTGGCTCTCTGCTGTCGCCCGCCCTCGGCGTGCTCCCGCTTAGGTCTTCCTTCCTCGGCTGCTGCGGCTCCTGCGGCTCCCTCGGCGCCCCCGGCCGCGCCCGCGCTGGCGGCGACCATCATGACGCCGTTCGCGGATCTGGCGGCGGCGGCGGGGGCCGGCCCTCAGCTCACGGCCTACCTGGCGGCCCGCAACCTGAACCGCACGGCGACGCTGGCCCTCATCGCGCACTCCTGGCCGGAGTTCGAGGACCGCGTCGCCCGGCCTTTCCTGGACGGGGTGGACATCGCCGGCACTGTGCACCAGGCGCGTGCGGGCCGAGGCGCACAAGCAGTGGGCCACCCACACCGCGGCGGCCCCTGGAACGGTGGTGCCGGCCCTTCCCGGCGACAAGCCACCGAAGACATTCCCGGAGTGGGGGCCGCTGGTCAAGCGGTACAACGAGGTGACGGTCGCCGGCGAGCCCCGGGATTTCCCCACGACCCTCCTCCTCGGCGCGGAGGAGGTGCTGGCGCGCATGTACTTCGAGCACACAAAGTCGAAGGAGTACACGGCGGTCGGCTTGGGTGAGATCTTGCAGCGGCGCACCTTCACGGCTTCCATGGAGGTGAATCCGCTGGCGATCCGGCGCCACAAGGAGAGGGGCCAGGCGATCCGGCTGGTGGACGGCGCACTGGTCCATGACCGGGAGGACCCCTGGACCCCGAGGGGGGTCCTCGGCGTCATCGACGGCATCGAGGCGGTGCGCTGGGCTTGGACCCTCACCGGCGTGGCCACGGAGAAGGGGGCGGCGGAGTACGCCCAGTGGTGGACGTCGAAGGCCCGGCACCGCCCGTCCCAGCTCGAGGCGATCACGGAGTACTGGGACGCGTCCTCCCGGCGCTTGGCCATGCAGATGCGCCTTCGCCGGACGTTCGAGGAGGTCACGGCGGAGATCATGAAGGACCAGGCGGCGTTCCTGGATGTCCTCTCCCGCGGCCCCCGGCGAGGAACAAGGTCAGCGAGGGCTTCAACCCGCCGGACCCGGAGACGGACGGCCCGCCAGGCGCCGCGGCGCACCAGGGATACCAGCCCGGGCCCGCGCCACAGAAGGTGAAGAAGAACAGGCGGCGCCGCAACAACCCCCGCCAGGCGCAACAGCAGCACCAGCACCGCGGCGACGAGGGTGGCTCGGACAGCCGCGGTGGCGGCGGCGGTGGCTGGCGGCAGAACTGGCGCCCTCGCGGCGACTCCAACCAGCAGCCTGGCCGCCAGGACTGGCATGACGATCGGCGGTGGGCCAATGCCGACCGGGCCCAGTCGTGGCAGGACCGCGGCGGGAAGAGAGACTCCCAGGCGCAGGACGGCGACCGCCCGCAGAAGCACAGGCGCTAGGGACAGCACGGGGCCCCGCCCGGCGCTTCGGCCTCGGGTGGGGTACCCGACCGGAGCCCGGCGGCACAGGCGGTGGTGCTGAAGCCGGCCAGGCCGGCGTTCTCCCTCTTTGACGGCGTCGGGGCGGCGCCGGCCATCCTCGAGGACCTCTTCGGCACACCGTGGGCGGCCATGGCGTGGGAGACAGACAAGACTTGCCGGCGATTGACATCCACCCGGCTGCCCTGGCTCCGGCAGAGGGGTGATTTCACCGCGGACTCGGTGGAGAAGGTGGCGGCGGAAGTCAAGCGCCTTGACCCGGCCGGCGAGTGCGTGATCCTCCTCGTCGCGGCGCCCCCCTGCCAAGATTTCTCCCAGATCGGCGCGGAGGCGGGCCGCAGTGGCGCCCGCGGCAGCCTGTTCTTGCGCTCGGCGGAGTTCGTCCTGGAGCTGAGGGCGGCGCTCCGCGGCTGGCGGGTCGGCTTCATGTTCGAGAATGTTGTCATGCAGCCGGCGTCGGCCAAGGAGGTATCCGACTGCCTTGGGGTGGAACCGGCGCTGGTGTGCGCCTCCGATTTCGGGTGGATCTCGAGGCCGAGGCTCTGGTGGCTCTCGGCGGACCTCCGGCAGCACACGGAGGACCCGGCCACCGGCGCCCCCCTGGTCTGGACCAAGAAGGGGCCGTTCCACCGTCTCCGGCTGGAGGAAGCCAGGGCGGCGGCTAGCACTCTGCTACCGGTGGGCATGGCCTTTCACCCGGCGGTGGCGTCGAGCAGGTTGCTCCTGCCATGCGCCACCACGCCGGCGGAGGACGAGAACGGCCGCCCGGCGCCGAAGAGAGCTCGGGGCAAGATCCCGGAGCCGGCGAGAGCCAGGTGGTTGGCGGACTCCCGGCAGTTCGCCCCCTGGCACTACACAGAGGAGGCGATGATCCACGACGAGGCCGGCCGGCTCCACAACATCCCCGTCGGCGTTAAGGAGGCTCTCCACCACATACCGGGGGGGTACACGGACCTCGGCGACGGAGCTGACAGGACCCGGCATAGGATGGTTGCCAACGGGTGGCATTGGGGAGTGGCCCGGCGCCTCTTGGCAATGCTCATGGCCTTTACGGTGGCACAGCCGGCAGAGGCGTCGGTGCCGGTCGCACCGAGGACCACCACGGTGGCGTGGATGGCCTCACAGTTCGGCGCAGGCCCCCTGGACATGAGCCCCCCGCCTCGCCTGGCGTCGCGGCTCGACTTGCCGGAGGACGACCCCGACGAGCACTGGCGGCTGGCACTTCAACTGAGCCACTGCACGGTCACTCGGCGGCCAGACCTGGAGCCGGCGGTGGAACGCGTCTTGGAGCTCGCGGCTGCATGGCGCCACGACGTGGTCAGGATCCGCGGCGAGGTGCTGCAGGAGATCAGAGACATGGTGGCGGATCGCGTGGAGGAGACGGCGGCCTGGCTGGCCCAGCGCCCGGCTCCGGTGCGCAGCACCTACTCCACGGCGGACAACGACCGGCCTACGCAGATCCCGGTCCTCTTGGAACTCCTCGGCGTGGTGGGCTACCCCGACATCGAAGGCCTCACGGCGGACCTCACCCAGGGCTTCGACATGCTCGGCGAGGTGCGGCGTGGCCCCGGCTGGAAGGAGCGGACGGACGGCCGGTACCAGAACCCGGCGTCCCTGGACCAGCTGGCGGCGACCAACTGGGAATACGTCCGGAAGCGAGCATCGGCGGCGCAGCCCGGCAAGCACTGGGAGACCCTCCTCACGGAACTTGTGGCGGAGGCCCGGCTTGGCAGGGTGGTTGGTCCGGCGGCCCCGCCGGCTGGATGGAACATTGTCACCGTGCCGGTGCTGAACACGCCCGGCGCCGACCGGCTGGTGCCGCCGCCCCCCGGCCGCCACTTTGCCGCGGCGTCCTTCGCCATCGTGCAGGAGGACGGCGAGGGGAACACGAAAGTGCGTCGAGGGGAGGACTGGCGGCGCTCGGGCCACAACTCCACGGTCCTGGCGCGGGACGTCCCCACCCACCACTTCGTGGATGACGTGGTGGACTTCATCCGGCGCGTGGTGGAACTGGCAGGGAATCGTGGGGTCCCGGCGGCCAGGCTGTTCGGGCACGACCTGCTCAATGCCTACCGGCAGTGGGCAGTCCGGCACCCGGCCCACTCCGGCACTTTCCTGGCGACACCGGCTGGGCTGACACTCTGGTTTCACCTGGCCATGTGTTTTGGAGCCGCGGCGTCGGTCTGGAATTTTAACAGGGCCGCGGACGCGATGCAGGCGCTGACCCGCGTCCTGCTGTGGCTGGTCGGCGGCCACTTCGTGGACGACTTTAACGGCGTCGACCTCCCGGAGCTCGCGGAGTCGGCCTTCCACTCCCTGGCGGACCTCTTCCTGGAGCTCGGCCTGCAGACCAAGCCGTCGAAGGCCCAGGAGCCGGCGGCCCGGCACGTGGTCCAAGGAGTGGAAATGACGATCGAGGCGGGCGTGTCCCTGCGACCCACCCCCTCTAGGGTGGCCAAGCTCCTCCGGGCCATCGAGGCGGCGCTGGAGACGAATGCCCTTCAGCCGCACGCGGCGCAGAAGCTGGCGGGCAAGCTGAGCTTCGCGTCCCAGTCCACCTTCGGCTGCCTCGGCAAGGCGGCGTTGAAGCCGCTCTACGCCAGAGCCCACGACGCGGCGGCGGAGTCATCCCCAGAGCTGTCGTTGGGGTTGGCGGCGGCCCTCCGGGCGCTCCGGCAGCTACTCAAGAACATCCGGCCCCGGTTTGTGCCGTTCGTCGACGACGGCGCCCCGCAGGCCCTGGTGTACGCGGACGCGTTCTTCCAGCCAGGCGAGGTCAAGCACAAGGCGGGCTTCTTGCCGGCGGACCTGCCCACACCAAAGGGGGCACGCGGCAAGAACGGCTGGGGATATGTGGTCAGAGTCGGCGGCGAGACCTACTATGACTACGGCCAGGCGCCATCCTCCTTCCTGGTGGCGTTCGGCTCCAGGCGGGCCTTTATCTACGTGCTCGAGATCGTCGCCCAGGTCCTGGCGTTGACAACGCTGGCGCGGCGGTTACCGGAACGCTGGCTGGCGTTCATTGACAACGTCGCCGGCCAGTGGGCCCTCACTAAGGGCTACGGGAGGGACCCCGCGGTCAACGGCGTCCTGGCGGCGTTCTGGTCCCAAGCTGCGGACATGGACTGGCTGCCTGACTTCCGGCGGGTACCTTCGAAGGCCAATGTGGCGGATGCGGTGTCCCGCGGCGACCTGGCTACGGCAGAGGCGATGGGCTGGACCAGAGTACGCACACCGGCGGCCAGAATCTGCGCCATCCTGGCCAAGACTGCTGGCGACCTCGAGTTCGCCATCCACGGAGCATCGGCGGAGCTGAGAGCTTGCGCTATTTGAGTTTTCCGGTAGTTCGGCTGTGCCGGCGCTGTGTGGGGGTGGGGAGCGCCGGGCGGGTAGCTCAAAGCTTCCCCGGCGCCGGCCAGCCTAGTTTTGGGCGGAGGCGACGGACCCGGCGCGATGCGCTTTCTTCCCATACAAAAGAAGGGTATCCGTCGTCTCGTGCTAGCCTTTTCGGCGTTGCCCTAAACGTCGATAGCATATGTCGTGTAGCACACGTGTGTGCGCATGGACATGAGCGATTCGTCGTGCCGGCAGCTGTCCCGGCTCGACATCGCTTTTTCGGCCCACCCTCTACCACCCTCGTGTTGGGGAGTGGGGAGGAGGCCTCCCCAGTATCGGCGAAGCCGTTTGCTAAAAGACTGAAGGGTCGTCCCCCGCCCACGGGCGGCGCGTCGGGTAGCTCAAAGCTTCCCCGGCGCCGGCCAGCCTAGTTTTGGGCGGAGGCGACGGACCCGGCGCGATGCGCTTTCTTCCCATACAAAAGAAGGGTATCCGTCGTCTCGTGCTAGCCTTTTCGGCGTTGCCCTAAACGTCGATAGCATATGTCGGCATACTGTCTCTGCTTTATTGTTTTCAAGTTGGCCGGGTGGCTACTTAATCTACTTAGTATAGTCCATAGCGGGCGACACAAAGATGCAGAAATTCAAGTGAATGCAGGGGGCATCTACAAAGCGCCGTCGTCTTGCGACCTCTTGAATTCGACTTCATGCTTTTCAACCAAGCACTTAGCTGCAACCACTTTTGTCAGAGGTTAGTCCAGGCCAAAAGCAAGCTGTCTGAGCTAGATCGCCGATCCCCCGGGCCTGAGGTATGTGGATGCGGCGGCGAATCGTCAGATGTCACAGAGGCCATGCCGACTCGGGTTCTATCAGTGACAAGCTGCAGATCGACTTATGCGGCTTCTGCTCCGCGTTTCGGGTGGTGCGCCGGGCAATGGCTGTGAAAGCTTCAAGGATAAGTTGACGTTAGCTTGGTCTTCAAGATTCCGCGTCCTTTGGGCGGTTGTGGGGTGCCATGGCCGGCTTGTGCACTGTGCTTGCCCTGAGCACGGTCTGCCCAGATCAGCGAAAGTCTCGAAGTCGTACAGAGTGGCGCCACAGCATCTCCCGCCCGCTGGCCGCCAATGTTGGCAACATGTGGGCATCGCGCCGTTGTCTGCCAAGCGTCCGGTGACCAGTGCCTCTGTCGAGATCTCTTGCGATACTCATTGCCTGAGCGTGCGTGGTGTTCCACCTTGGCCACAAGGCCGGGCCTCATGTTTAGCGCCCTTCGTGTACAAGCTTGTGCGGACATTGAAATCGTGCACGTCCGAAGCACTGCACCTTCCACCGCAACCCGTTCCAACACATGAACTGCAAACTTTGACGGGGAAGGATTCAGAGCTACCCAGGGTTGAGGGTTTCGAAACCACGGCTCTGGCAGTCACAGCCTCAACTTCAGCACAGCTAAAGGCACGTAATGGCCTCTACCAGACGCAATAGTTTACCACCTTTTCGTCGTCACCCTGCGACGACGAGGTCTGGCCAGTAATGCTGGAAAAGCCTGTCACAGCAGCCTCTAAGATCTCGCCCTTTTGTTTTTGTCTTTCTGCCTGAATCTTCTCAAGACGCTGCACATGGATGGAGGTGCTTAGCTCACACAGTCAAGCCCTAGGCCCCAACTGTGAAAGCTGAAGCGTTCTTCCCACCCTCACCAGGTCACAATATCCGTCTTGTTCGCAGCACTGTCGCGGCTGTCTTTGTCATGATAGCTCGCCGAGACTGAGCTGTGAGCGTTTATCCGATGTTGAAGCTTATCTCAAGAATGTCAAGTTAGTCTTGAGCTCTTGGGCTTGCTCTTTCACCGGTTTTTGGAGGGTTTTGGGTTTGTTGGGTTTGGGAATTTTGGGCCGCTGTTTAGGGTATTGGGTTTCTGTGCCGGGGGTTCAGGGCGTGAGGTTGGGTATGGTTCATAGACACATCTACCAGAAGAAATGTCGAAGACTCCGCACCCGAACAGATCCGAGTAGGTCAGATCAGCTAAGGCCACACGCCCACAGCATCACGCCCGTGGTTCTAGTGCAACTCCTGGGCAGAAGGCAGGGCATCCTTGTATTCAAGTTTGCCGAGAATCCGCGCCCATAGAGGTCCCCCAAATCTGTTCGCAAACAATCCGAGGTCCCACTGCCACGGTGCGGCTTCAAAGCGTCTCCTGTGCGGGCAGATGGCCGACGGCTGGCATGCAAATCCTTCCTGAGCCAAGCTTTCTCTTGATCTGTCGCTGAGCTGCTCCTTCGAGATCCACGCGAACATCATGTGCGCGAGCGTGAGTGTTTCCACCTCGCGACAACACATGGCTGACCTGCATGGTCTCGTGCTGCTTGCTCGCGACGCGCTTCCGCGGAAGCCTTTCCCCACAATCCAGTCTGACGACAGCAGATGCGGCTGCAAGTCCACCGTGGCGTCTCGGTGGGGCCATTGGTGCCTGAGCACAGTTTGCAGGCCTGGGTCTTGCGGTGGGCTGAAATTGGGGTTTTGGTTGGAGGCAGTGAGAGGGAAGCCATACGGTTGATGAGACAATGCGGATTATGTTGTATTCCTTATTATATTCCTTGTTTATATCAGCAACCGTAGGTCAGGACATTCGTGATTGTCGTGTAGTGAGGATTTTGAAGCTTTGTGGTTGTTTTGGCTGTTCTGATTTCTAGCTCCCCCATTTCTGCAAGGACCTAACGAAACGGTTCTCCAGGAAAGTTCGAGGTCCATGCATTTTAGGATTGAAGGCCTAAACATCCCGACAACCACCCCACCGACCCGTCACCGCGCAATCCCCCCATCCCCCATCTCCACCACTCCGCCCCTCCATCCACACCGCTTCCACCATCCCCACCCACGTGTCTCGCAGGCTGCGTCGCGAAGAAGCACGGTGCCATTGCTGAGTCGCGTAGCTTCCATTGAGCTGCCGCCGAGCTTCGCTGGCTGCGAGATGCACGACGCAGCGCACTTTTGAGGACTCGTTCGGCCAGGTGCCATTGAGGCGACCTGGCCCGGTGCCGACATGTGGACTATATTGGAGGCTTGGTCGTCCCGTAACTCCGTTTCCAAAACGTTGCCTCTGTGGAGCACGGCCTCAGGGCTCGGTTTCTGGGATGAGGCACGGCCGGCAAAAGTTGTCGGCATACTGTCTTTGCTCTATCGTTTTCAAGTTTGCCGGGTGGCTACTTTGTATAGTCCATAGGGAGCGACACAAAGATGCAGAAATTCAAGTGAATGCAGGGGGCATCTACAAGGCGCCGTCGTCTTGCGACCTCTTGAATTCGACTTCATGCTTTTCAACCAAGCACTTAGCTGCAACCATCTTTGTGAGAGGTTAGTCCAGGCCAAATACAAGCTGTCTGAGCTAGATCGCCGATCCCCCGGTCCTGAGGTATGTGGCTGCGGCGGCGAATCATCGGATGTCACAGAGGCCATGCCGACTCGGGTTCTGTCAGTGACAAGCTGCAGATCGACTTATGCGGCTTCTGCTCCACGTTTCGGGTGGTGCGCCGGGCAATGGCTGTGAAAGCTTCAAGGATAAGCTGACGGTAGCGTGGTCTTCAAGAGTCCGAGTCCTTTGGGCGGTTGTGGGGTGGCACGGCCGGCTTGTGCACTGTGCTTGCTCGAAGCCTTCGCCAAGTCCTTGTGTGGAGCCGAGAGAGACCACAGGTGATGGCGCTTGATCGAGCTACCGCTTGGCCAGGGGGCTCGGGCCGTCTTTTCAAGAAAGGTTTGACGGGAAGATGCACTCCTTCAGCTGCATGTGCGGGCTCAACTGCGCCTGGTGACTTCACTTGTCCGCTATCGTTCGCTGGTGCCTTTCGATTTCGCAGTGCGGCTTTGCGGCTACACACCTGGTGAAGTAGAAGACGGCGAATCCGAGCATGTGAAGAAGGGCAGTGGCTGCTGCACCTTTCCATCGGCAGTGTGTAGAGCGTGCTCTCTCCCGGTAGCTGGTGAGCCGCTTGGAGGTTGTCTGGCAGTGCCTCTGCCACTCGTTAGCTTCCCTCCAAAAGGTCCTGCTCCACTGGCTTTGCCTATGTGCCGCGGGGCTAAGAAGACGATCGGTCAGCTCTTGACCCTCACAGTGCGATGCCGCAGCGCAACGGTGCCGAAGACAGCACTCCACTGGCACCACATGGATCGGACACCAGCAGCGAGAGTGGCGTGATGAGGCTCTTATGAAGCTACGGTTTCAAACTACCCATGCCTGGTTTGTACAGCCTTGACCTGAAGCTTAGGACAAGCAGGCTAACCAACACAGCTCTCTGAAGGTCCTGCGATCTGCTTTTACTGATACAGGTTTACTCTAACCGAAGAACGCCCAACTCCGACGTAAGAACATATAGATGCTGTCGGCCCCTCCGAACTGAGACATTGCTGGCAGGCATTCTTCTGGCGTGTGGCTGGCTGCTTTCAGCCGCTTTGGCTTCGTCGACGGTCTTCTCGGCATGGGGTGATGAGGTGAAGAAGTAGGTGCTGCACATTGCAGTTCCCTGTACAACACCGAAACCGTTCCGCTGCAAGTGAGGAGAGCCGGAAGCAGGCATTTTGCAGCGGTGCCATTGCGGCCTGGATGCCTTGCAGACCTGCTCAGGTTGCAGACTCAGCCAAAGACCTCGGACATTCTGAACATTCTTTTGGCCACCGGTGAGTTCCGCTGAGCCTCTGCTAGCCTGAGACTTCAGCTGGACTCGTCCACAGTCTTTTTCTTCGACCTTTGCATTTGTATGGCTGGCCTTTGCGGACGGAGTTCTTGATGCCACCGATGCGCTTTGCAGCAACACGGCAGTCAGCGCAGCAGCAATTCCGCCGTAAATAAGCATTGATTCGAGATGTTCCGAGTCGGAAACCCTGCAAGCAGCAACAAGGCCAAGTCTGTTGGCGACGACAAGCTCACGCTCAGAAGTCGGGGAGCTAGGGCTGACTCCCGTGAGCAGGAACCGGGAGTTCTGTCGTTGTGCTCGGGTATGCTTAGGGACG